AGCTAACAAATCTGATTGGACAGGAGTATATCTGAAGGGTCCACACCAGGAGCTTCTTCCACATACTTAAGATCGTCTGTGCATTCCACAACCCAAGATAGAAAGAATACCAGGCAGCACTCTGGAAATAGCCATCTGTACCTCCTCCTCCAAAGTTTAGGACATCCTTTTAGGTAAGAAAAAAGGGATGAAGACCAAGTACTGACAAGCCACACAGCTTGTACCTTTTTGCATGTGCCTCAGAAAGGAAACGAAGGCCCTGATCAGCCAGCATTAAAAAATAAAGCTCTCTAAGATAACTTGTACAGCATCTCTCTGATGATAAGTCCATCGCTTGGATTTCTCCAAATACAGTTCCCTCGTCACATTTATAAAGCATAAGAAACATGTTTTGTTGTATGCAGTCCCTTTCAATTCTGCCTCATGTCTAGCTTACTGTTCAACTGGGCAACAGCTTCTCCCATATCCTCACTGTAATGTGAAATAATCGGTTCCCTTATCAGCAACAAGGGAAGGAAACAGACTGCCAGCATTCAAGCAGGCTAGAAGTAGCTGATGTTTTCAGCAAGAGTAGAACACGAGTTTTTATAGTCGTGCTATTTTCTTGAACAACTGGCAGTTTAACACTGGCAGCAATCACAGAAAGCACCATTTCTTAATAGCTTATCACTTCTACTATTTGTCTGTTATGGGTTGTTTTGCGCATCATTGCCTTGGTACCTGAGCTAAAATAGCCTTCTGTTCAGATTCACTGTGAAGTGCTTCTTAACTTTAACCAGATCTCACATAATATGTAGTATAGTAGTATGATTTAGCAGTTAATCAAACTTTACCCCCTTTTCGCTGTTCTAAATTATTGACCTGGACACAAATGTGGGTGGATCAATTTCATAAAACCTGCAAAAGAAGAAACTGTAGCTGAAAGTTTCGACACAGCAAGCCAGCGTGGCGAAAGTCATGTATTTTTCTTAAACTCCTTTGAATAACAGGAACAACAATTTCCCTGCAATGTCAGGTAAAACAGGGCCAGATTTTTTTCTTTAAGAACATGGCATTTCCTGATTTTTCCAAGCAACTGTCTGTATGTCCCATTGTCATTTCAGCTGACCAGTAATTCTACTTGGAAAAGTTTAGCTGCTGGCGATCTAAAATTCACAAACTGTGTGAAGAAAAATAGCATAATAAGCACCAAGATACAGTTTGCATTAATACGTCAGACATCAAAGGCAGAAAAATCATACTTGTTATTCATCTCTGGCTATTTTCCACCGCATGTCTTTTATTCTGTCTTTCTGTCTCCCTCCCTGAGCCTGGTTCTGCCAGAGATTTCTTCCTGTTAAGAGGGATTTTTTCCTTCCCACTGTCGCCAAAGTGCTTGCTCATAGGAGGCCATATGATCGTTGGGTTTTTCTCTGTATGTATTATCGTAGGGTCTACCTTACAATATAAAGCACCTTGAGGCAACTGATGTTGTGATTTGGCCCTGTATAAACAAAACTGAATTGAATTGAATTGAAACACCCCCATTTCACCGCAGTTCTGTATTTTTCATATCACTTGTCCATTAAAAGCATTCAAAACAAAAAGATTATTATTTTGTTTTATAGTTTTTGCTTTATTCATGTCAGCCATTAAAAATATGTATATGAATAATTCTTAAAGTAATATTCTGTCAAGTGGCAAAAACAATGAAAAACAATGGCTCTAAAACAGATTAAAGGATACATCAGGTTTACAAATCCAGATGAAGTGAATAGAAACAAAGGAAGGATTTTATGTAACATGAGCATGAAAGTGAATGAAATCCAGCATTAGTAGGCAGCGATAGCTCAGTAGGTAGAGTGGTCACCCCATGATTGGAAGGTTGGGGGTTTGAATCCACTGACTACTCTAAGGTACCCCTGAGCAAGGTACAGTCCCTACAGTCCCTGCTCCCCAGGCGCTGGATTGGTGGCTGCCCACTGCTTCACTGAGTGAATGGGTTAAATGCAAAGAGTAATTTCCCCACAAGGAACAATAAAGTATGTGTTATTAAATTGCTTGTTTTACATTTTATGAGTTATGCCTCTTTTTCATTCCAACCCCAAAGATAAGGGAAGTTTAAAAAAAAAAGAATGTTAAAAGATTTCAAGAATCTGCTCCTTAAATCAACGGTTGCACAGCAACTAGCAAAGATGGCTTGTAGTTGTTTTATTTGTTTGCTTGAAAAAAAAAAAGATCTGTGATTTTTGGAGATATTTACAAAGATTATTTTAAAAAGTAGATATAAAATTCAAATTCAAATTCAAATTTTATTTGTCACGTACACAGTCATACACAGTACGATATGTAGTGAAATGCTTGGACAACTGCTCGTGACCTAAAGAAAACAAAAAAGGAAAAGGCTATGAATAAGATAGGAAATAAATATGAAAAATTAAAAAGGGTAAATTTAACTAGGAAGGAATAAAATATAAATTAAGGTTAAAAATGAAATAACTGTACAACACAAATTAGAATGAAGGGTAAATTTAACTGGGAGAATAAGATAAAATATATAAATTAAAGTTGAAAATAAAATAACTGTACAACAAAATACACAATATAGAACTATATAAGAATGTATGAAGAAATATAAATAAATATATACACAATAACAGCAATAACACAATAATAATATACACATCAGTCATCAGATATATGTTTTAAATCTTTAACTTGTTCTATCTTTCTGGGGTGCAAGAGTAGAACAGTGTACACCTTTATTAATTATTGGTTCAATTAAAACACTGTCTTACTTATGTAAAGAGCCTCATCTGAATAAAAAATGGTGCTGCAAGTTAAAATGGCTCTCTTTGTCTACCTTGCTAGTACTGACGGCATCACAAACTTCCTGCAGATTTGTCGGCTGCACATGAACTGAATCTGCTGTTTCATCGCATCTCAAATGTGCTCTTTTGGATTGAGATCTGGAGACTGTGGAGGCCGTTTGAGTGCAGTGAATACATGTTCGTGTTCAAGAAATCACTTTGAGATGATTTGAGCTCTGTGACATGGCGCAGTAAGCTGCTGCAAGCAGCCATCAAAAGATGAGTGCACTGTGGTCATAACACAGTGCTGTGGTCAGCAACAATACTGAGGTAGTGGTGGTGTTTAAGGGGCTTAAAGCGTGCCAAGAAAAAAATGCCATACATCATTACACCACCAACAGCAGCCTGAACAACATCCTGGACACTACTAGAGATGGACCGATCCGATATTACGTATCGGTATCGGTCCGATACTGACCTAAATTACTGGATCGGATATCGGAGAAAAATAAAAAATGTAATCCGATCCATTAAATATCACGAAAGCACCTCACAAAACTTGCAACACGCCGTAACTCACCTCAGAACGTTAGCACGTCAGAGCAGTATGCATCACGTGATAGAGCGGCTGTGGCATGCGGGACGGTCTGGATAGCATTTGGAGCTTCGCTAGCAACCCAGCATTTCATCTCCGACAAAGTTATCCCGAGAGAAGTAAAGCAAGTGTGTAAGTCCATCTCTGAATGTAAAGCATTCCTGCGTTAAGCTTAACAAGCGATATATGGAGCGACTGCCTCTCCTGCTGCTACTTCAATCATGAAACTGCTTAACGATCAGCTGATCGGCTTTTCTGTCGCGAGTCCGTCTCTCTAGTTTGTTTTTGGCCCACTTTGCACCAGAAAGAGGAAACCAGCTGCTGAACAACAGCAGCACGTTTAAGCCAAATTTATGATATCGGTATCGGTATCGGACATAAAAAAGTGGTATCGTGCCATCTCTAGACACTACTATCAAAATGTTGCAGCAGAAATTGAGACCCTTCAGAGTGGCCCGACCAGATCAGCAGTTTCACATTCAAAGTCACTTAAATTAACTTGCCTCCTCATTCTGATGCTCATTTTGAATTTCAACAGGATGTCATATGATTGGGTTATAAGATATTTTGTTAACAAGCAGTTAACCTGCTAAAGTGGCCAGTTAATTTAAAAAACAAGAACAAAAAAAAAAATCTCATTAACTTAACTTACATTTTATGGGCTGTGAACAGAGACTTAACTTCAGGCTTGGTAATTGGTGCCAGTTGTCTGCTGGGTGGGTTTAATTCGCTTTCCAGTCATTGACTTCAAGCTTTTTCTTTACTGGTGTAAACAGACCTGTGTGTCTTCTATCAGCTTTTCTTAAACCAGATATCAGCACCTAGTTCTCTTGATCTTGACCACTCAGTTCTTCTCTGTGCACCATACTGCCGATTGTTGAGTTCCTCCCTCTATGAACTAACTCACTGTTTATTATCCAGCAGATAATGCTGTCATCTGCATACCTTTTTTAAATAAAAGGCAGTCCAGTAAACAACCAGCACTCACTGACAGCTCAACAGTAAACAGTAAGTAAAGTTTCTGACATTGTCGACAAAGCGGCTAGTTTACAAGCTTAGTAAAAGCAGAAGTCGCGGCATATATATTTTGTTGGACTGCAACAGTTAGCTCTCAACCCGAATGAACAACCTGTTTAAAATCATTTTGGTGAAGTATTGGTAAGGAGTGGCTTTCCAAGAAAGGTGGCTGCAGAAAGGAATAAACCCCTGTGCCCTCGTCAAATTTACCAGACTATGGACACTTGTGTCAAAAATGCTTATAAATCATCATACATTAGCCTTGTATGTTTTTAGTGGTAGTCACATAATGAAATTGTTGTTTTCCTTTCTAACCACTAGAGAGCAGCCTTTGCTATATTATTGCGTTTGACCGGTCATATTTTTAAAGGTATTCTTCTTCTGCATATACTCTCTCTCTCTTTTCTCTTTGGGTGTGTGTGAGCGTGTGTGTCTGAAACACAAAGGGAAATTTCAGCTTGAGACAATAGTGTGACCATATGGTCTCCCTGGCTTGTAAATCATCATGTGGTCCAGTGCCAGCTTCCATGAAAACTACTCCACCTTCCTAAATTCTCTCTCTCTCAGATCTTCTTTACGAAAACATTCAAGTGCACATGGTCTTAAACTAATACTGACTTCAGATACCTGTTCACTTCACTGCAATCAAAAGCGGGCTGATGCGAAAGAGACTCAGAGAGGTAAGGAGAAGGGGAGCTGAAAAAGGGGCGAATGCAAAGAAAAGATATTCAATCAAATAAAAGAAAACATAAAGTCTGTTAAAGCCAGCTGCAAAAATATTCACCCTCAGCGGAGGAGACAGAACAAGGAAACGAAGGAGAACACTAACAAGGGAATAATAACAGAAGGAAGGAGTGACAGAGGCCCTGGTAAGATGTTTTTCCTCAAGCAGTCAGGGGATAGAAAATGACTTGCTATTCTGCAATAACTTCCTCAACTGAAAGCTGAATGTTCTCTCAGTGTAATTCAACCCTCTGCTTCCTCTCTGATGGAAAATCATTTTCTTTGGTGCTTAAAACTCAATGAGCTGCATTGTTTCCCGCTACATTATGAGAATGACTGGAAACAGGGTAAAAGGCAGTAAATTACAGCACAGCAGAAAGAACAATTAGATTCAAATGCACTGATTAGCTGTTCTGGGTTCTGGGTAAACTGATCATTTTCTGCAACATTTATCTTTATTCGATTTTAACTCAATATGAGGAAATGTAAAGGAAGATACTGGAAACATAAAATATGTCGATTCGTCATTTTCCTCTTACAGCCCCACTGGGTGGCTCAACCATGAAGTTGAACATCATTTGTAGCTTGTTTCTGCTCCTGGGTGTTCAAACAGTAAAGGTATGTTTAACTTAATCTGCCTAATTTCGGCTTTCCACAAAAAAAAATCGTAAAAAAGGGTCAAGGGTCAATGTAAATATTACTAATGAGTGAAAAGTAAAAATATTTGAAATTATGTTCTCCTGGCTTTTTTTTCTGTTCCACTCATCAAGTCTGTTTTGTCACAGGTGTTAAAAAGAAAATTTCCGAGTTATGGAATGTGGCTCTAGTATTTTGGTCACCTGTTTCACATTTGATCTGGGAAGAATTTAGGGGCAGATGTGGACCTGGCTGAGACTACAAAGTTTGGAAATATCAGTATGGAATTGAGGTGCACTGTGAGAGCAGATTGATGTTGAACGGATGCCCATTTTTATTTTGGGTTTATGATGTGTGCTCTTTACAGTACAATGATGCCAAGAAGCTGACTTTTCTAATGGTACAGAATATTAGTTTAAAATGAGCCCGGGGGTTTTAATGAAAGGGAAATTTATGCCAGAGTTCGGTGCTGCCACTAATGATTTTGGCCGCAGATAAAACATAAATGCCCGCTTTTTTTTTGTCTATTAGAAAACTGTGTGTGTGTTTCAGGGAGGCAGAGCCCAGCGCAAACAGAGACAAGCTGAAGAGAGCCTGAGACCATACATTGGCAGAGTTAAACCAGGTAAGAGGAATGCCACATGACTGCATGCAAGTCCCATGCACATTCCTCTTTTTCTAAATGTGCAGAACTAGAAAGTGATCAAAATACATTAAAATTTTCACATACCTGGTCAGTATTCGAGTCACCATCCAGAACTGGCAGGAACTGTCATGGATGCATGATACACATAAACACGATGAACGCTCTTAAGCATATATTAACATAAAGAAACTATAGCCAGAAATTCTGAAGACAAAATAGGGTCCTAACCTAGTAATATCAAGTTGAAACTAATAAAATGGCTGGTGAGTGTCGATGTAAAAGTAAAAACTAAGCTGACACAAGGTTGTTTTTCTATTTCTGCTTCAGAAAAGCTTTGTGAGCTGCTGAAATGCCGTACTCCAGTGGGGTCTTGGTGCCAGGTAGTTCAAGAAAACGGAATTCTCATCCCCAAGTGTGTTTGTCCTCAGTCCTGTCCTCGGTAAACAACATTTGGTTCTTTAATCATTTTCAGGCTTTAAAATATTTTGTCCTTACAGGAAGTTTATACTTATATGGGATTCACACATATATGTAACTTTTGGAAAGACATGTTAAGGTAAAGCAGTAATCTGGCACATTGTACACTACATTCTCACATGTGAATTTTGTCTGTGGGCACTCGCTCATGGAATCAGGCAGAGGGCACCAGTGTGCAGTGTTGTGGGAAAGACCTATGAGAATGAGTGTTGGCTTCATAAAGATGCCTGCAGAAAGAGGCACCGCACCGGACTCGCGCACACAGGACCCTGTCTAGGTAAATAGCATTAGACATTACAGACTGTTTCCACTGTGTATCACAGTCTTCCAAATTGGCTCTGATGTGCCTTATGATCAGTCCCCAAGGGTAAATGCACCGAGGAGGAGTTAGGCCAGTTTCCATATCGTCTCCTGGACTGGTTTCTGCTCTTGAGTCGTATGGGGGAATCCTACGCACCTGCTGCCCCGCCCCAGAGCTGCCTGAGCCACACCCAGAGGACACAGCTGGCACAAGTAACTCATACTTCGCACTTAAAGTGAGCCTGTTCAGCAGGTTAACAGGGATAAGAAGATAACTGTGAAGTAGTAAACGTAATTCATGATCTATGATGACCTCAGCCAGTGATGATGGAAATAAAATCATTTCCATAAAGTGAAAAGAAACTATAGCCAGAAGGCAAATACTCAAAGGCATCATTTTCCCTTTCACTGTAACCAAACACTGAACATAAAGCTGTTTTTCATGATAGACACCATCTTTGTGCTAGATACAAACTGCCCTCCATGGGTCTAGTGACTGATCGATGTTAACAACCTACCGTAAGTGGTAAGTTCTTATGTTGCTTGTGGTGTGGTTGTCCACAGACTGGGACAGGGGCTCTTAAGACACCACGTATAAACAGTATTTGGTCAATATTCACTAAATTATTCAATAACATGGTGAATAGGGGGATAACTTAATATCCTCTGTGCATTCTCTTGACCTCCTGGCCTCAAATGAATTAAGTGAAAGCTCACTGCATTATTTCTATGATACAAAAACAGATGTAGAGTGTTTTGGGATAGTGTTACATCATAAAATTCCAGCATTATGGATGCTGATTCTAGCATGAGAGAAATAGAACTACAGCCTACTGTAATACTGTAATAGCAACAGTGCGAGTGAACAGGTGAAGCATTTACCGTGTTTCCATTTCCTGTTTAGCTTGGTAGCATGCTAACAGTCTGATGGGAGAAAGACAACAGGTCTTTTATATAAACAAAAGCAATAGATGAAAAGTTGAGGAATCATTTGAATCATCTTGAATGACAATCCATTTCATAGATGCTGAGGTATTTCAGTGGGCACTATGAAATGTTAAAAAATAAAATAATGTGTTTCTGTAAAAGTTAATATTCCGGTAGCTGGGGCACCAGAAAAATACGATAAAATGCAGAAATTCACCACCACTATATATATATATATATATATATATATATATATATAAAAACACCCAGCACGCCCCTGCGGGCGGTTTATCCTTCAAGCTCGGGTCCTCTACCAGAGGCCTGGGAGCTTGAGGGTCCTGCGCAGTATCTTAGCTGTTCCCAGGACTGCGCTCTTCTGGACAGAGATCTCCGATGTTATTCCCGGGATCTGCTGGAGCCACTCGCCTAGCTTGGGAGTCACCACACCTAGTGCTCCGTTTACCACGGGGACCACCGTTACCTTCACCCTCCACATCCTCTCGAGCTCTTCTCTGAGCCCTTGGTATTTCTCCAGCTTCTCGTGTTCCTTCTTCCTGATATTGCTGTCATTCGGAACCGCTACATCGATCACTACGGCCGTCTTCTTCTGTTTGTCTACCACCACTATGTCCGGTTGGTTAGCCACCACCATTTTGTCCGTCTGTATCTGGAAGTCCCACAGGATCTTAGCTCGGTCATTCTCCACCACCCTTGGGGGCATCTCCCATTTTGACCTCGGGACTTCCAGGTTATACTCGGCACAGATGTTCCTGTACACTATGCCGGCCACTTGGTTATGGCGTTCCATGTATGCCTTGCCTGCTAGCATCTTGCACCCTGCTGTTATGTGCTGGATTGTCTCTGGGGCATCTTTACACAGCCTGCATCTGGGGTCTTGCCTGGTGTGATAGACCCCAGCCTCTATGGATCTTGTGCTCAGAGCTTGTTCTTGTGCTGCCATGATTAGTGCCTCTGTGCTGTCTTTCAGTCCAGCTTTGTCCAGCCACTGGTAGGATTTCTGGATATCAGCCACCTCCTCTATCTGCCGGTGGTACATACCGTGCAGGGGCCTGTCCTTCCATGATGGTTCCTCGTCTCCCTCCTCTTTCTTGGGTTTCTGCTGCCTGAGGTATTCACTGAGCACTCGGTCAGTTGGGGCCATCTTCCCAATGTATTCTTGGATGTTCCTTGTCTCATCCTGAACTGTGGTGCTGACACTCACCAGTCCCCGGCCCCCCTCCTTCCGCTTAGCGTACAGCCTCAGGGTGCTGGACTTGGGGTGAAACCCTCCATGCATGGTAAGGAGCTTTCTTGTCTTTATGTCAGTGGCTTCTATCTCCTCCTTTGGCCAGCCTATTACCCCAGCAGGGTACCTGATCACGGGCAGGGCGTACGTGTTGATGGCCCGGATCTTGTTCTTACCATTCAGCTGACTCCTCAGGACTTGCCTGACCCTCTGCAGGTACTTGGTGGTTGCAGCCTTTCTAGCGGCCTCTTCATGGTTCCCATTTGCCTGCGGGATCCCCAGGTACTTGTAACTGTCCTCTATGTCTGCAATGTTGCCTTCTGGTAGTTCAATTCCCTCAGTTCTGACTACCTTCCCTCTCTTTGTTACCATCCGGCTACACTTCTCCAGTCCGAACGACATTCCAATGTCATTGCTGTATAGCCTGGTAGTGTGGATCAGTGAATCGATGTCTCATTCACTCTTGGCATACAGCTTGATGTCATCCATGTACAGGAGCTGGCTGACAACTGCTCCGTTCCGTAGTCGGTATCCATAGCCAGTCTTGTTAATGATCTCACTGAGGGGGTTCAGGCCTATGCAGAACAGCAGTGGGGACAGAGCATCTCCTTGGTAGATCCCGCACTTGATGGTGACTTGTGCTATGGGCTTGGAGTTGGCCTCTAGTGTTGTACGCCACATCCCCATTGAGCTCCTGATGAAGGCTCTTAGGGTCCCATTGATCTTGTACAATTCTAGGCATTCCAGTATCCAGCTGTGGGGCATTGAGTCATAGGCCTTCTTGTAATCAATCCAGGCAGTGCACAGGTTGGTCAGTCTGGTCTTGCAGTCTCGGCTGATTGTTCTGTCTACCAGTAGCTGGTGTTTTGCGCCTCTGGTATTCTTGCCAATTCCTTTTATATTGTATATATGTGTGTGTATGTATATATATATATATATATATATATATATATATATATATATATATATATATATATATATAATTTCTGTAATTAAAATTAGAAAAATTTCCGTATTTTTATGAGACTTTAATGAGAATTTCTGTGGTGAAAACTGCAGTAAATCCACAACAAACATGTTATTTAATAAACAAATCTATGTAAAATTAAAGAAACTATAGTTTTGTTACTGCCATTTAGTATCACTTCTGTTATCTCATATTTAGATATGTTACACTATTAAACTAGGTTTTAAAAGTTTAAAAGTTTAATCTATTAAATAAACACTGTGAAATTATTTTAAATTTTGGGCTGTATTTTTGCAGTCTTTTTATGCCCTTACACATTTTTTTTTAATTAAAATTTTTACGATTTTTACACATTTTTCATGTTATTTTTGTTCAGCATGTTAAATCACCTTTCATTTTATTTTATTTTATTTCACTAGAATTTTCATGTCATTTCATGTATTTAAAATAACAGGAAAATTCTGTTAAATTACAGAGTTTCATGAGTTTATTGATTGATTAATTTGTTTCTTTTTGTTTCTTTTATGTTTTCGGAGCATGAATCATAGATGCGTGGGACGTTAGGGTTTGAAAAGTAAAAGGCAATGTAAAAGTACCTTCTTTCGAACTTTCGAACTACCTTCACTAACTAGTGTGTGATGTCACAATGACTCTGTCCATCTTTTTATACAGTCCTTGACCAAAACCACCATTGTGGTCGGCTGAATCTCCTAGTTAACATCACACATTTATTGTATTTATGTGATATGACATAAAGAAACAGAAAACACAAGTATTGAGTTGAGTAGTGTGCTTTCTCTCTCTCCCTCTTTAGAAAAGATTTACCCTGTTGGACAGGAATAAAGATGGCAAGTTGAGCCGCAGGGACCTGAAGAAGCTGCATTATAAGAGGATGCCTTTGGAGCACTGTGCTACACCATTTTTTCAGTCAGTCCTGCCTTCAACGGCCTTGCTGCATCACATAATGATTAACTTTCTTGTCTGATATTTAAATAAATTAAATATTGGGCAGTTTATTTGGGGGGGTTAACATCCCACTATAGCAATCTCACAAGTTGTGTGTTACATGCATGTACTAGAAGCGAGCAGATGATAGTGAAACATCTGGCCAATTTGATAAGTATCACAATTTTAAATATGGCCATTTTAATGAGTTGATGAAATCTTACTCAAGACCATTGCTATTTCCTATGTCCATATTTCATCACCTCATGTGACACAAGAGGTTTGTTGGCCTAATTGAAATCATCTGTCTTTTGCAATATGCTATTGTTTGGCTAATTACAGAAATACAGAGGGTTAAAAATGTGACACCGAGATGCAATTCGCCCCCGCTCTGACCAAGCTGCACCTCCCACCATGCTGTTCTCTCTGCGTGCCATCTATCCATTCATTTCCATGCCAATCCTGTATCCTCCTCCCTTTCGATCTCATGACCACACCATCTCTCCATTATCATACTCCTCCTCCATGCCGAAGTATTTCCTCTTATCTGTGCTTCCTGTTTTTCTCTCATCTCTGATACAAATGCGTTTATCCTCAGCCTCCCTTTCTGTCAGCCAGTTATTCATTTTCACTCTTCCCTCATTCTTACTTCCTTCCATCTCCTTTTTCTTCTCCCATCCGTACTCCCACCCAACCCCCCTTTTCTCTGCCAGTCTGCAATGACAAGTTTTGTGGGAGCAGGGCTGGCTGTGTCAATGTCAAGCCATTCCCAGCAATGATAATGTTTATTACCAACTGTGCCTCCCGCTGCCCATGGATTAACACAAATTGAAGGAGTACCCTTCAGAGATAACGCTGCACTGTGAACTGAAAGACAATGGCTGCTGAAGAGCCCCAGTGCAGTTCCTTTGTACACCTATAGATATTTAAACTATAAACTACATCTCTGTATCCTTGTGGATGTGACTGAATATAGGATGTGTTTCTGTAAATCATCTGTTTTCTTCTGTGCTATGTTTGCAGGTCATGTGATCGTAACAGGAACAGGGAGGTGACCCTCAATGAGTGGACAGCATGTTTGGTGGATCGTTCTGAGGCCTGGTTCTATCAATTAATGTGTCAGTAACAAGTTCTTACCTACATTTTGCTGTAATTCTTCATAGTCACACACAGCGGTTTAATTAGACTACAGATTAAATTTCTATATCTGTAATCAAAAGTCCAAGTTAAAATCTGCAAACTCTATTTTATGCTGTTGATGAAGAGCAAAGATGCTCCATAATTATTCTAGACAGCCTGCTTCCAGTTTTTATCTAAAATTACATCTAAATTATGACTATTGTGCTTTTCATGAAGCCTTTCCATAAAGCTGGTGGACTGCCTGAAACATGGTCAAAATACATGCACAGGAGAGAAATATCACTCCCACCACAGCTGGAGGAGGGACAAGAGTAGTAATAAGACAGATTAAATGATTGAGGTTTAATTGTGTCTTCTTTGTATCTGAAATGTTAAGATGAGACTTTTTTTCTTGAATTTAAATGTCTGAATTTGAAGAATTTTGATTAGGAAAAATAGTATACAGTGTGCAGATTTTTTTAGAAGAGTCAGATCACAATAAATCTGTGGATATAGTTTAAAGCATTTAAATGCTAGCATGGCAGTTTTAGGTTCATTCTTTACCAGCTGCAGTTCTCACATTTTCTATAAACCACAGATTATTTCAGAGCTATTTTCTTTTAAATATTTTATCCTTTTTTCCTGTCAAAACAGCCAGTTGTCTGCAGGGGGTTTATTTGTCTGCATCACTGCTATTTCAAAACCTAAATTCTTAATTTTTGTTTTACCCACAGCAATGAGAATGGGTTCTCTGAAGTTGTGTCCTACAATCAAAAGGAACTACCTCTGACACGTCTAATTCTTTGTGCTGTTAGGAACTTGCAGGTCATATCATGACAGTTACTTGATTTTAAAGCTGATATTAAAGGATGACATCGCTACACACGCTGACTTAGTCATTGATTTTACCTCTTCTGACATGTGATTTATGGTGTCGTGAAATCTGATGGTCTGCTGGGTGCCCGTGGATTTTTATGTGTGCTCAAAGGGGACAATTAAAGGTCTAGACAGGCTGAATGCTAATCATATTGTTGTTAATTACATTTGCTGACATCTGTAAAACTGTTAAAAAACACACACACGTATCGGAGACAAATTACACAGGATGCTTTGGATAACCAATTAAAAGGAAGATGTCACAGACAGACAGTGTGATATGCAGAGAATGTCAAAGTAGATGGCGAAAAAAACATGGGGAGAAGAAACACTTAGTGGGGGAAGACGTGACCAGAAAAGAGACAAAGAGTTAATAAAAGAGTGAAAGGTAGAAGTAGCGAAAAGTGTCATAATTCAATGGAGGAGAGCGAAGGCAAAGTGACTGAAGAAAGGAGAGAGCAGCGCAAAGTGTGTTTGCGAAAGACGGGAGGAGGTAATGCACTGTAAATGGGAGTTGAGAGTAATGGAGTAATGCATAAAAAATGGATCAGAAATGAGGGAAAGACTGAGAACGGGGAGTGAGGGGAGGGGGAGGGATGGCTGAGAAGGCAGGAGGAACTGAGGAGACGGGGAAATGCAAAACATTTTCTTTGGAGCCAGCCCTGTAAATAGCATCTTGGAGCATGATGCGGGATGTTTGAAATACTTGACCTCTGCTAAGGTCAAAAAAACTTGCATAATGCAAGCTTGCTTACTTTTTGTGCCTGTGTACCATTTATAATACATGCTGCTTCTAAAACTCTTGTTGCATCTTGTTTGTTTGTCACTATTTTATGTGCAAATCTGTGAGAAGTTGCACATGTATGTGTTGGTGCTTCTAGATCAATAGGAGGGCATGTGTGCGTGCGTGCGTGTGTATGTGTGGCCTAGGGTGGGCTCTTTGACATGACTGGATTCTCTAGACTAATTAGCCTTTAAATTTACCATGCCTGAAGGATGAAGAGGAGAAAGACAGACACTGAAAAGGAGATGAAGAAAGGCGGAGAGATTTCGCTACCCAATATGAGATGCAGATTCAGTGCAGACATGGGGCAAACGAGGACTAAAGACTGCTTGCAGTAGATGTTTTCCAAAAAGTAACAGTGTATCATCATAAATATCAAAACAAGATGTTTTCATTCCATCTGATTTTTCACTCAAAACTTTTGATTAAATGAAGTGGACCACTGGAGGGATGCAGTTTTCCTTGGCATATAGACGGAAAAACAAGTCTGAACTGGGAGGAGAAGAAGCATGAAGAAAGAACAAAAGCAAAGAGATTAACTGCGCTGAATAGAAGAGAAACTATCTGCTAATTGTGAGTGACCTGCGGAACGGTGAGTTGTTGGTCCAGGCTGTTCACTTTGTGGAAACAAAAAAAATGAGTATAGTTCCCAGCTTCCACCAGTAAACATCTCTTCATTCTCGCCCTTCTTCCCCAGGGACGAGTCTCTTTATCCAAACGAAACACATAATATGAGCTGCTGGGGCCACCCCTGAAGGTCCAGCATAGCCTGCACACCTCCTCCACCTCCTCGCCAATGTTCTTTCTTTGTCTTCATACCCCCTCCTCTGCTAATAGATTCCCTCTCATTACCTCTGGACCACCATCTCCACCTCCATCCCCCATCCAAACACAGAAAGGGCAGTTGCAGATTGACCCACATAATCCTACTTTACCTTCTTCTCACACCAGCCACCGCAGCGGTACACACACACCATCCACCTCCACTCCTACTGTCCTTGCCCCTCCTGTCTCACTTCATTTGGATATTAGAGATATCCGTGAGCCACCCACCTCTCTAACCATGTCCTCTCACCCTCATCCTTCTCCTCCTCCTCCTCCTTTGGATGCTGATCAGTGATTTGATCTGTGATGGCTTGCTTGCATCTCTTTTGCTTTTTGTCTTTCGCACACACATTTACACACACTCCCATGGGACTCTGACAGCATAGGAGCAGATGGGCGGCTGGTGATGACATGTTGTTAAAAATAAAGATTCCTGTTAACCCGTTGTCGGCTTGCACACCCTCTGTCCCTCCCTCATGTCCCCCCATTTCATCTCATCTCTCCTGTCAATCTCTCTCTATCGCTTTTCACACTCTGAATCCCTAATTCTTCCTTTTAGTTTAGCTTGTAACAAACAGGATGGGATTCAAATGCTACAAAACCAACTAACTTTGGCACTGAAAGCATGCAGCTCAAGACCCCCCGACCCCCAGAACATGATATTTAATACATGGCTGCCATAAAGACGTCCCCCCTGCATTATGCATGACTTGTAAGCACACATCAATAATAGATGAAAAGGCCAGTTTTGCAGTTTCTTTTCATGCAATTATGCCAAATGAAATTTTTATTCTCACTTTCTGTTTCTTTTTCTGCGAGTGGAGTTTGTCCTGTGACGATTTCATGATAAATTATTAAAAGGCAACACAAGGGGGTGGGAGGGATCAAAAGAAAAATTCAGGCCGGTCATGATGGCAGTGAAACAGAGAGAGGGTGTGTGTGTGTGTGTGTGTGTGTGTGTGTGTGTGTGTGTGTGTGGGAGAGCTTGTGTCACCCAAGCCTGTTCATCCATTCCAGGTCTGACAGATGTCCTACAGATGTCCATAGTCTGAGGAAAACAGACTACAGCATGATTCTCAAATCAAATTCTTCACCAAAACAGCATAAAAGTTGTTAGAACACAGCTCATACACAATGTTGGAGGGTATGCATTCATTAATCTCTCTAAGGTTAATCACCATCCAACCTTCAAAAGAAGCCGCCATATCGTGCTCTGCCAGATTGCCGACTTTCAAAACTGCAAAGTGGGCCAGCTTATAGAGAACGATACAGAGAGAAAGACTGGTGCCTTTGAAAGAGAGTCCAGTCACTCAAAGGGTCCTTACTTTAAAAAAAAAAAAAAAGGAAGACCAGTTGTGGGCACTGAAGTGATACATTTATTAATAGTGTTCATGTGCCACATTTTTTATTCCACTTTGAAGTGATGTTGGAGGCAAAAAGAGGCAGAAGGAGACAGGGAGGAAGGGAGAGAGCGGGTCTCTCGGATTCTAGCCTGTGGTCACACAATATTCCCTCTGGGTGGAGTGGGTCCCATTCAGAGCGACCTCAATAGCCCTACACTGAAGTACCTATAGTGAGTGAGTGAGAAAAGGCCCCATCAGAAAATGGAAAAAGGGGAGTTAACACACAGCTCTCTCTATTTTCTGATGATATTGATTAAAGAGCTCAGAGAGACCAGGGTGCCATTGTGTGGAGATAAGAAATCTGGGTGGGGTTGGAGAGCCACTGAGTCTACTGAGACCTGCACTTGACCTGTGGGTGGAGGACAAGAAGCCTCCAATATGGTTGTCTCGTACAGCCTACAGAATAAATATGTCTCTGTCTGGGCTTTGAGTTTACTGCATGTACCCATTGCAAAGTGATGAACCTGTTAAACCAACTGTGAAACTAACAAACTAAGAAAGTGCTGAGACCAACAGTCAAAATACAAGTACAAATAGATGACTGATGTCAGCTATTTAAAGCTGGGAACTGATGGGAACGTTTTTCTTTCTTTCTTTTTACTGATTAATGTTTCAGTTGGTATCAATCCACCTCTTCTTTCTGGGAAAATATGATGCCAGAAGCTAAGCAGGAAGAGTACCAAATGGGGCAAAAGGATGGACAAGTTACTGCCTATAAAATATTTCTTCATTAGTAATGCATCAATTTGCAGTTTAAAAGAAAAGAAAACAAGAAAGGGTGTGTTTATTTGTTCATTTGTGTGCCAGTGAGCAATTTTTCAAGGAGAATCAGGCCAGCAGTTTGCCTGCTTCCCATTTTCATGTTCATGCAGACATGCAATAGCATCAGATAATTACATTAATAGTTTTGCAAGGCACTAAAAACACAAGCTTGATTTAGACGTCCATTTAAGTTACCAGCAGACAGAAACTGGCTGCAGCTACCTGCCATTTAAACTAGCAACAAGAATAATAGCAATAACAATCTTAAGTTCCATAAAGTTTAAACCGGCCAGGTTAAAAACAAATCGCTGACAGTGTAGTTGCTTGTTAGGGAAAAAATAGCTACAGAGAGAAATATCGATAAAATTGACCATTTTAACATGAAATTTCACTGCGATTTGCTAACTGCTGGAGCCAGCCTCACCTTCATTTTTCAAACTTGGAGGTTGAATCGTTTCAGATAGGTATATAATAACAATTAGCAACCAAATTAGGCATTTTTTGGTATATATTCTGTGGTTTGATGTGTCCTTTAATCTGATCATTTCCTTTAATTATAAGAAAATGTCACATTAAAATCAGTTTTTGGAATCTGAAGCCTATTAGAATTCTAAAATTTAATGAAACTCCACAAAATAAATATGATAATAAAGTTTAAAACCTTATCTCTGAGTAGTACAGCATAACAAAGGATATCGTAAAGTAATTCAACCAATGAACCAAGAGCTACTGCAGCTCTTTAAATAATGAAAATATGGCAGAAAGTGCTGAAATGATTTTATTTGCAATCCAAAGTCCCTTTTCACTTTTTTATTTAATATTTGATATAAACATGCACACTAAATATTTGCATAAATCTATTAAGGGACTGATAAGCTGCTCTCCTGTTTAAATATGTTCATTTAGAGGCAGACTAACCACCTGACTGAACAAGCGATAAGGGCACAAAGACAGTGTAACCTCTAACATGCTGTCTGAAATCATCTCCTAATGCAGATGTTATCAGACCAGCCAGAGACTGGCATGTATTGTGAATGCACTTAACTTTTACATCACCTCCCTATTCCCTGACGCTGCTCTTGACAACACATTCTCTCTCTCTCTCTCACTCTCTCTCTCTCTCTCTCTCTCTCTCTCTCTCTCTCTCTCTCTCTTCTCATCACCACCCCCATTCAGCGACCTCACCGTCATCCCCCTCACACTCACCCACTCGCTCCCTCACTCTCAGATTGCACATACAGATATACAAACACACTCAGTCACACATGAGCCTATTTGAATTGCAAGTGAGCTCTGTTCACTACCAGGAGCAGGTAAACAGAAGGAAGAAGTGAAAAGAACGGGAGGAAGGGGGAGAAAAAAGAGTGACAGTGGGTAAACAAGAAGCGAAGAAAGCATACAGGCTTCACTGACCAGATGACATTCACAGAGTATTTAGCAGGACAAGCCTCCACGTGTGAAGGTCTCAGAGAGACGGAGGAAAAGAGTGTGGAGAGTGCCTTGGGAGCCTTGCACCACACCAAGGCACACTGGAGGTGGGACAGCCCTGAAGGAACACCTGAGCTCTGAAGAGACATCTCTTGAAGTAAGGGGTGAGCAGCACCTCATGGGAGACGGAATCAGTGGAACACCCAACAACAACCTGCTGTCGCTCCTCCTCTCCTCGCAACCGACTCTCACCCCCCTTCCTCCTCCTCCTCCTCCATCCTCTCTCCCTCTCTCATTTGATCCCATCCCTCACTCCCTGCACCAGAGAGGGAGAGCGTGCACAGAGAGAAGGTAAGGGGATGCATGCATGCATGTTGTCCTTGCAGAGCATGTGTGTGTGTGTGTGAGTGTGTGTGAGTGCGTCAGCGTTTCAGATTTCAACTGGTTGTGTAAGTCAGCAACTTGCTTCTTTGAATCAGTTGTGTGTGTGTGTGTGTGTGTGTGTGTGTGTGTGTGTGTGTGTGTGTGTGTGTGTGTGTGTGTGTGGTCTCTGGAGGGTTGTTAATAAAGCTGAGACGCACTTTTAGTACGTCTTATGACTGCTTTTGCACGTTTGAAGGTTGGGGTCATCTCTCTTTTCTTTTTGACAACTAGTAGTTTTTTAAATTATTTACAAATACACTAGTGTGACTATGAAGTGGGGCAGTGAACACAGCGAATGAAGAGCCATAAACTAAAGAAAGAGTGTGATACTATATAAAAGTGTGTGAACGACAAGCGGCGTGAGAGGTGCAGGCGCAAAAGGAGAGTGAATGTGAGGAAAACGAGGGAAGGTTTATATATTCAAAAGTACGTGCATCGAGTTAGAAAGTGAACCGTAAAATCCTATCAAGTTGCATGGTAATTGCATGTTACCCTTCCATCATTTCATCAACCCCCACCATGAATCACAGGCCAGTTCTTTGCTCGTAGTAGTTTGGGGGGGGACAACGGATCCTGCAGGGACCACCCCATGCCATTTAATCTGTCCCTGCCCACAGATAACAGAAGGCAGATGGTCCTGCCAGAGCCCAGGGAGACAGAAGATAGCTAATACAATGTGCAGACAGATAGCACACAAAACTCAACCTGTCCCCCTGAAACTGAGCCTGCATCAACTTCTAAATAAGGGGAACAAATGAAGTGGAAAAACAGACAGAAAAAGAAAAGCATAAAGAGGAAGAAAAAGATAAACAGAGCCGAGCTCAAGTATCTTTAATTAAAACTCAAGCAGTATCCAGAATAAATGCAGTCAGTTGACAGTTTGGGATAAACATAATGGAAAGAGGAAACTCGTTTAAACAAAAATAACCACAAAAAAAGAGCAGAGAGTGAGCAGGACCATCAAAGTCATGAGCTCCTGTGTATTTATTTATTGAGGGTGGTAGTTAAGTTCACTAAGCTCCCTCTCGCTCTAAGACCCAGCCTTTTCGCCTTATGAAAATTCAATTGGCCATAATTTGCTGAGGAGCCGTATGCATATTTTATCAGCGGGTGCGTTTTGAAGAAACAAGCCCGCCAAGCTTTTTTGTGTCTTCATCTTTATCAAGATTGAATGAGGGGACGTGTGAGAGGGGCTGTGAGGTTGTGCAGCCATCTGCTAATATGTGCCACACTGGGCATTTGACATGGGAGCTAAAGTAAACATCAATCAGCTTCATATGTCTGACTGAAGCACAGAGAGAAATCCATTGCGACCTTGTTGCCTGACTAGAATGTTTTTCTCTTTTGATTCTAACCATCTTTTTTCTAGTTTCACTTTCTCCTCTCTCCATCTTCTTCCCTCTAATTACTCTAGGATCCAACATCCTCCTCTTCTCGCTCTCCATTTCCACAGCCCTCCCTTCCTCTCTTCCCTCTCATTTCCATCAGTTTTTCTCCCTCTGCATGTCTCTCAGTTAAAGCTTTATGGGTTGTTCACTCCCCTCTTTCTTTGCAAGGATAATGAGCAGGCGCCTCTGTGTGACTTTGTAGCTGCGCGACGATCTGTGAGTTTGAATCTCGGAGCGTCCCGGGGCCCAAAAGACTCAGATGTACCTTCTGTAGCTGCCTCCGTGGTTCCACTGCTGCTGTCATCTGATCTATGGGGCACAGCACTGACATAATACACCTTGTTAGGGGAAGGCGGGGAGTGTGTTGGCGAAGGCTGTGTGAGTTTGAACAAATGTGTTTTCTCAGGAGAGAAAGAAAACAGTGAGACCTGTAATCATCTACTATCACTAAATCACAACCGCATGCACACAGGAGCACGCCCACATATAAATGTACAGATAAAAGGACTGTGAAACACTAACAGAGTGCGAGAGAAATAAAAATAAAAAAAAAACGGGGGAAAAAGACAGAAAGAAAGCCTGAAAAATCTGATACCAGTTCTTCTGGTTTAGGCATTGCATTAATCTATGCTGAATGGATTTGACTGCATCAGAGCACCTCCAGGTGTTGTTTGCACACTCGTCTCTGCATCAGCACGGCATCGTTTTCTCAAGATAAGTCCCCTAATAATCATAATCAAAGATATTTCGAGAACAGACCCATTCAAACCCTCAAACTAAAAATAGAAATGTAGATATAAAGGCAGCGACTTCAGAGTGATATTAGCAACCCACTTCACACTTTGAAAAGTGGTGCGATGGGTGATTTTTTACAGTGAGTGTCAAGCTGTGCTACACACACATCCCAGAGTAATATAGCATGGCAATTTCTTTTCCCTGGTATGAATAATTCTGTCTGAATAGGATAGGATGTTTCTTCATATCAATGAATCATCAGCCGCTACAGCTCTTTAGTGTCTGCCTGAATGGTACAGTAGAAATTTAACTAAGTCTGCGTGTGTGTGTTTGTGTGTGCGTTGCTGATAGGCTCTGATTGATGGTCTTGACCTTTCCACTGTGCATTTTCAGAGCCCGGGAGCCATCCAGGACGTAGGGACGAAGACTAAAAGGCATAAGAGAGTGTGAATCCACTATGGCGCTGTCTTGGTGTCTTGGTGCAGCTTTGGCACTGGTATGTGGATCTTTGTGGCCCCAGGTGCACTCAGGTGTGGCACCTGAGAATGAGGTGCCACTTCGCCCAACTACGTGGTTACCAGAAGGAAAGATCACCTCTGTAACCCTACCTAAAGGACGAACTCGCAGGTAACAGATGGAAAGCATCCATGTGGTTGATAGCTTGTTTCCACTGAGAGCATAGCAAGATTGTTTTCATTATATTTAATGATGTGGTGTCATAAGAGGTGAAAAAGGTGCTCCTATCTTTTAAAAAAATATCCATTTTTCAGCATACTTTATTCTGAATTATCAGTACATTAATATGTGTACCAAATAAACTGTGCCTAATGAATGAAGTGGGTTGAAAGCAGTTTCGAACTAAGCAGAGCAGACTAGGTAATTGCTAAGAAGTGACAGGTGAGTGAATCACCAAACAAAAAAAAAGGCACCAATCACGATTAAGATAAATTGAGATTAGGATTAAAATTAAAATCTATTCAAAAGATTAAAAATATATTCACCCCATGATGACATGAAGCTGAAATAAATCAGCAAGCGCCACATAATGAATTCCTTGTCAAACTATATCATTTCCTTAATGCATACACTTAATATTTTTGTCTAATGATTAGACTTGAAATGAACTTAAAGTACCATTTTAAACAGTCAGGTAATTCATGTGTTTCTAATCCAAACAAGTCCATGATAATCTCAGCACTTGTGTAACAGCTGAATTCACGTGAAACTAGATGCTGTCCCTGCTTGACGTTTTTCCTCATTTGCATTTCATTTAAGACCCACGATTAAAAATGGAGGTCTGCTCAGTGAGGTCGGAAACAGTAACATATCACCACCCATTCCCTATCCACCTTTCGTAAAGACAGAGGCTGATTCCAGCAGCGCTGTAGAGAGAGCAAGAGGAAGTGGAGCCCATTTGGCTTGAACCCTACACAACAGTGCCAGTTGCTTTCTGAAAGCGGGAGCAGAAAATTGCGACATGCATCTCCCCGTGAGCTGCAGTCTGTCCACCAGTGCAGTCAAGCAGGACCACACGGCAAATAATGGAGAGAAAACACTGATTCAGAAATTAATCACTCTATTAAATAATCCACAAAGTGCCCTTGAGAAAGAGTGCTGCACATCTGTTTGGAAACAATCACCATCTGTGCAGAATAATGAATAAACGTGTTTGTGTGGCAGGAAATAATTATGCTGTTAATACATTTTCACATAGCACGACTAAATGTAAAGAAATGTTAAAGACTTCTTCTATTCAGTCGTCTTTGCTAAGCAATAAAGAGTTGAATTGAATTTTAATAGGCCACCACAGAATAAGCGTTAAAATGCCCTTCAACAGCAATTCAACTGCCATATAATATGCAAATCTAACATCCAACATGCAACAGCACAACCATGTCCTTATAGTTTCTATGCTAAGCACGAGCTGAAATGGTTACATCAAGCAGACAGATATCCATCTGAAGCCGTCAGTGCAGCCTTATCATCTGATTCTGAGGTCACCTCTCCTGATCTGCTATCAAATGACTGATCAGCGTGTAGGCAAATGGAAACACAGCAACTGGCAAATGTCTGAAACGGCTGTAACTCGTCAAACTTTAGTAAATGAAATTATAACCGCCCCACCTTATCTAAAAATCATCCAACAAAATGAAAGAATGGGCACCGAACAATATCTTGTCTTCTCGTCCATCACCTTGCAGCTGAACAGAAGCAGGATGCTATCTTTCTGTCATCCCCGGTGAAAAAGCAAGTTGGTTCTCTTTGGTGTTTCTCCACAGGTTATACTTCACGCTGAAAAAGAAAGCTCCGGGGATGTTGGTGACAGTCAGCCCTTGTGACCTTCCCATTGAATGGACCTTGGCTGCTCACACCCTGAAGGACAAACCCCTCAAAAACCTGCAATGTGAGTGGACAGTAAGACCACAAGCTGCACCTTTTGATACCCACTTAACCTGAAGACCTCACTACATCTGGCTTAGCCAAGGACATTGATTAGAGATTATCATTGCCATATAATATGTAGGGATTTAGTGAAGGGCAAACAGTCTAATCTTACTTAAGCTTCAATGTGTAGATGAGACTTTTAAACCAGATATGTGACCAGAATTAGTAGCATAAGGTAAAAAGGTACATTCTTGCTTTGTGTTTTCATTATTTGTAACTTCAAGGTCATGCTTTTACTGCAACTGTTACACAAATTTATAGGCCAACAAACTGATTTCTGTCAAACAATAATTTCACTGTTGAAGCCTGAGTGTGTTTCCGTGTTATGAAAAGTCCACAAATTTAACAGTCCTACATCTTATCAGCACATTGTACCCATTTGTTGAAGTTCAAAGCACTGTAAAACGCATATATTTTTTTCTAAATGCCACCCAATGTCTTTGACAAGGACAGAGACAGCGAGTGTGATCATATCTGTGTGTCACCTGGTGATAAATTTTATCTGAGGCTTTTCATTTCATAAAACACACACACCAAAAAGCTCTGCCAACTCCCTGTTCAAATATTGAATAAAACAACAAACTAAAACTGCACTCTGTAACAATCTGTTTCTTGCAAACCAAAGCAATTAAATAAACTCAAAGGATTAAATATATTCTGGCACAAAGGCTTAGAATTAAAGACAGGCAATCAGTGCTCAGAGGAAACAGAAGTAATCGCATTTCAGTCCTAAAAAGGCAGAGATTTCTGGGAAAGGAAACAGGCCTCAGTGTTTTCCAAGAGTATTTTTCCAGGTTACTTAAACAAGCTTCTCCACATGCTAAAATAACATTATGTTATAAAATGACACATGAATCATTCAGACCCTGAGCTCATGGGTCCCCATTGCCAGCCTGAATAATTCACTTTGATTCGGTAACATTTGGTCTCATTTTTCATCTCTAGGAGACATGAACAGTGAAAACAATTGGTGATTTATTTATTTTTTGTCTGTGTTTATCTGGCAGTAGTGTCATTTAAGTGAAGAGTCTGTACTTCAGAATGAAAACACTTTAGGTGCTGAATGAAAATACTGCCAACCATTTTTGAAGTGGCAATTGACATTTTAGATATATATTTGTTTGTTCATTTACAAGGGGCTTAGGATTTTCTCTGTCAGCGAGGTTCAGTGTGATCAATTGTTATAATGTACAAACATAACGCTTTTGGTTTAATAACATGTACTATATTTTTTTTAAAACAGCGACACCTAAATAGTATAAAAATTGTGTCCACTGCTTACACTTTGGTGAAACATAACATGATTTATTAACCAGTAAATTAAATTTCTAATTTAGCATTAGCCTACTTCTCAGTAAATCGCTATAGCTAATTTCTTAAATTTCAACTCTTGTGGCATTGCTAAAAACACATTACATTACTACTTTATGGGAAAGCAACTCAAAAACACCAAATAAAGAATTTAATTTTGGTAAACATACTTATTTACATACTGCCAGCAGTAAAAGAGGAAGATAATATGAAACCAGTGGTGATTAGCTTAGCATAGGAGCTAGCCAGGGGGATCTGCTATGAATTGAAATTAACGGGTTAGCGCAATGACTGTTTTCTACAGTCATTGGGTTAGCAAGCTACGTTGAGCTAAAAGTCAAAGCTTTCTGTGTCACTATGGTAACTTACCAAATCACCATGGTAACTTAAGCTGAATACCTTTGGTTTTGAGCAGGTTATGTTCAGATTTTCTGTTTGAAGTCAGGTGGAAGCGCCATGTTTTCATTGATTCTTTTATTCAAAGCATATTTTTAAGTGCAATATAGATTATCTGCAGCAGGAATACATTTTATGTATGCATTTTGTTAAGCTATCCGGTTGTTCAGTGATGACGCGACGAATCCTACTTCCGGGTCTAAAGTAGTCTGCGTTTAATATGGCTTTTGTGTTGTTAACATGTTTAATGTTATGTATTTTCTTCTATTTGATCTCAAAAAGCTCCTAAAACAGTCAGTGATCCCTGTTGACCTCCCTCGGCTTTTATTACCACTAATCATTTATTTAAGCTCAGTCTTTAAAACCTTAGGATGTAACTACAGCCCAGCCTATGCAGCAGTATATGAATGACTAACCTCGTATTGTGGATGGATTATCTCAGTTGTTCTCCTGGCTGAAGTTTGGTCCTTTTACAGCATCCTGCCATGCGATTACATTTGTTTCTGACCACCGAGAACACTCACGGTAACTTTTATCGAGTGGAAAAAAAGTTAGCTTGTTTATATTATGCTAACATAGCTGTGTCGCTAGCGGTCACCTAGCACATCATTATATACCAGCTAGCCCAACTTCAGTAACCCTACAAACGTCACTGCTGTTTAGTTTTCTGTCTTCATTTATGCTGGAAGTGATAGCAGAGCTGTACGTTTTAATTTGTTTCCAAAACCCCGCAGTCAGGACATGCTATATTGTATTTAGATAGAAGCTAGCGAGCTAACTCCCTGCTAACTTCTAACTCCGTTAAATGTCATAAATTCCGTTTTCATGGATGCCTGGATGTTAAACTCAATTGTTACACCTGGTAGAGCAGAACGCTGATCATTTTATTAAGGATGAAAGACTTTAGACAGTTTTTCAACTCTCAGTAATGCCATAGTGATCGTTTGATATGTGGACCTGCAGCGGAGTTTAGACCCAGACACGGCTAGTGACGTCAGACTGAACAACCGGATACCTTACTAAAAACCAAGTCATTAGGTGGTGATACAGAATGTTGTTGTTCTTTTTTTTATTGCCAACTTTCTCTTAATATGCTACTATTTCTGTTTTACACTGCTGGAATTGCAATTACTACAGGATAGATTAGAAAATTAATTAACATGTGTATTACCCAGAATACCCACACAATTAATAAAACGGATTCAATTTGATTTGGCAACAGATTAAAGCGATTTCCATGCCTCTTTTTTTTCCGTTACGGGACAGTAACCTCTAATGTATCACATTTAAAGTTTCAGATATCTAATGTGCAGCTGTGACGTTGTAAACAGCAATATTAAAATAATTAAATTGACTTAAAATGTTTATTTTTAGTGCTCTGTGCATTAAATCTAAGAGTAATTAATTTTCTGCAGTATTAATCTCTTGTCTTATTTGCAAGAAGAAAGGTGAAAAGCGCTGTTGTGTTATGTTTTATCAAGTTGGCTAACACAAAGAAAGCCTGCATGTGTTTCATTCATTTGTAGTAAGAGTCTACCCCTATGACCATGTGGTAAATGGTAAATGGACTTATATAGTTCTTTTCTACTCTAACTGAGCACTCAAAGGGCTTTTTAGTCCAGTCCTCATTTATCCATTTACATAGACATTAATCTATACCTAAGCAACATGTCTCACACTCACACTCTAATGAATGCACTGGGATCATTAGGGTGCCTTTTTGAGGGCCCAAAGTCAGGCACACAGACTGGTGGAGCTGAAAACAAACCACTGACCGTCCAGTTGGTAGAGAACCGGTTCTATCTCCTGAGCCACAGCTGCCCCCCATATTATATGCTGTTTATCTAATCTGTACAAAAACAGACTTCTAATAACGTGGTGTTTTTGTGTAATTAATTATGTAATTGCACTAATTGTATGAGTGCACTGACTTCAAGGAGGCTACATTAAGCAAACTCCATACAGAGTGTGGCATGCATCTTATCCAATTCAGAGTATGAAAGTAATAAGCATTTCTTACGCAATGACAGCTTTATTTCTTTAACACTGTAAAGAACCTAATATGAGATAATCCAAACTTTATAAGGTCTCCTTCAGGCATGTTTTGATATATAATCTGAGTTATTGCACTTGTATTTATTGTTGGCCACATTTAATTTGTGCAGATTCTAACATTGATTTATATTGCATATTAAGTTGTGCAATATTATTTTATGACTTTGCAGGATAAAGTTTATTATAACATTAATTGCTTCATTTAGGGCACTTTATAATTTTATGTGTAACATTTAAGTTATTTATTATCACCCCTTGAAAAAACGTTAGCTCCTATCTGCTGGTGTGTATGTCAGGATATAAAGTTCACACTGTTTATTATGGAGAATACTTTTAAGAAAACCTATAACCCACCATTCATCTATAGCTCAGGGAAACTGGAGAACAGTACTGAAACAAGACACCAGGGTTACGCATATAAGAATTATGCTACTTTAGATAATAATGTTTGTCTGAAAATCATGTCTAATTATTCTTCCTGATTTAAAAATCCCAAATCTGAGAATGTACAAATACTACCAGATGTGCAAAAACTACCAGATGCAATTCAAGTCCTGCTTCACTCTAACTAACTCCAACTGTGTGCAGCAAAACATTTATCCTTCACTGAATGAATGTGAAAACAATCTTCTAGTATCAAACTTTGTCATTGTCCAAAGTGATGGTCAAATGCACAAGTGAAGTAAGAATAAGCAAAACATATTCAAGTGTGTCATTGTGATCTATTGTGGCTAGCTTTCTTTTTTCTTCTTTGCTCACAGGGAGTACTAAAAAAAGCATGCCTGAGGTGTGGTGGCGAGGTCCTGGGACGGAGGAGAAAATACACAGCAATACTGGCAATACAGTGGAAAGCTACAGTGGTCCAACCTATCCAAGCGCTTCCATCTACATCCTAAGGCTACGCTCCAAACAGCAGAACACCAGAGCAACAGTGTATCTTCATGAAGGCCTGGGGCCTTCAGGCATCTTCCCTCTGCTCCCAGCTGACCCGCAAGTTCACACATTAGGTGTAGGCATGACCAGCGTCACCCTCAGCTGGGCACCCAGTGCCTCCATAACGAGCCTCCCACATACACAGACCAGTTATGAATACTGTGTCCTTGTCAACTCACAGGAAAACTACCCCAGCCTTTGTGCTGCACAGAAGAGTATGAGGAAAGAGAAAGACCAAAAACAAGAAAAGGACAGACGGAGCAGGGTGACGGTCTGGCCCATTTTGAAAGAGTGGTGGTGGCAGCAGTGGGACACTTATCCTGAAAGTCCTCAAAGTCCACCAGCTTCCCTCACTGATGAGTATGAAGACCTCCAATGTGTGTGTCAGGGGACAGAAAGTGTTTGCACTGTCTCAGAGCTCCTGCCTGAGACCCAGTATTACTTTGATGTCTTTGTGGTCGACAGGCTGAATGGGACCAGCATGGCATACAAGGGGACACTTGCTCGGACACATGAGGAGGCTCGACCTGCTATTACCGCCCTTAGAGAAGGAGAGCTGAGGTGGGTGACTTTCCAAGACAGAGGCTTCAGCTCGGAGCAGTTCTTCAGTTTCCGTCCTCGGGGTTGGCAACAGAGTGGCCTCCTCACCTTGCAGAGCTGTGGAGAAGGTGAAAAGGTCAAGGTGACTGTATCTAGTAAAGGTCAGGTCTTGACCTCTCAGGCTGCTGGGCGAGAATTAGCGCACATATGGCTCCAGGGAAGTACTTCCTATCTCATCCACCTGGAGAGAGAAGGAACCGCCATGGACCACACCTCTGCTGTTACAGACCCATCGCTACCAGAAGGTCTGACAGCTTCAGTCAAAATGCAGACCTCATCAGCTTACCACCGCAGAGGAGTCCCATCTCTGCCCTCCACCTTACAGATAAAATCCTTCAACCGATTGCGTGGTTGCAGTAGTGTCACCCTAGCATGGATGGGAACAGAAGAAAGAAGCCTTTACTGTGTGTACCGCAGAAAGCTTGGAAGCCATGAAGCAGAAGCTGGCGGAGCATCAGCTCTAACTGCACCCTGTCTGGGGCCAGAGTCCCGCTCTGACACCGAGAGAGTTCTCTGCAAGTATTTCCAAGAGCTGAATCCTCGGCGGGCCGTCACTACAGCTGTGATTGGGGGCCTGGAGCCAGGAATGGCCTATGTGTTTGATGTCTATCTAATGAGACGCTGGGGGATCCCTATCAAGTACACCAGCAAGATTGTGAAGACTAGAAAGGAATGCTGAGCTGCTGCCCCCTACAGGAGGTTTTTAAACTGTCCCAGTTAAGGGACAAATGCATCAGCCATGGGCATGCTATAAAGACTGTCCAAGAGAACGAAGCCATTTGACTGTTGTAGAGAGACTGTTACCATAACAAGGAAATATTCCCTCTGAAGGAGCAATGGTTACATTCAAGATCTCCACTTACAAGATCTGTGCAAGTGGATAGAAAGCATATGAGAAGGATCTGCACACCAGCAAAAGTTCATAACATTTACAATACAGTTCCTGTGCTTTTGTCATTTTTTCCATTGTTGATCATAATAATAATGTGTCAGTTGTCCAAGTGCTTATTTTGTGTCAGAATACAAAGAACGGATGAGGTTTGTGATGACAAAAGTCAAGACAAAAACAACAACAGAGACTGTGCCAAATATGCAACAGAAGCAGATGGGGCAATGATTAGATCACATCTGAGATGCGGGAGTTGTAGTATATATCTCCAGTGCTGCATATTGTACAGGCTTATAAACACAGATGGGTGCAATCTACAGATGCTAAGTTCAAAGTCAGTGTGTATCTTTGTGTTCTGCTTTCGCATGAAGCAGTGAAAATACTTAGTGACTTGCCTCATTGTCTTTGATGTATTCTTGTGCTGCTTCAAACTCATTAATAAATACTTGGGTATCCATATGGTTCTGCCTGACTGATGCATGTATTTGCACTATTTTGTGAAATTCTAAATTTAACGCTTCAGCTTTTATCATGAGAAATTAAGTCTGTTGGGTTGCTCAAGGCCACACTAATCTGTGGCATTTAATTAAGGGGAGATTTATGATTTATTTTGGTTAATAGATTCAAAGTAAGGTTGAAATATAAAAAAATTTACTTTACATAGACATTAATCTGCTGATAGATTTTTTTCAGGAGAAAATAATATAAAAAAACAATGTTAAAAGGGGTCATTTATATATGGCATTATCACTTCAGACACAGCAGCTTTAACATCATTACACAATAATTTGTCTGCAGCATCACCCGTTAACCTCAATCTTAGCATTTGATCATGCTGTGATCATATTTGAATGAGAGGATGGATTTAAATTATTAGCTAGCAATAAGGCTAGCAAGCTTGGTAATCAAGCTCCACCCATAAGCTGTACAGGTTCAACACCTGCTAAATAAAGATGACAGCGATACTGAGGTGAGTTGTTGAGAATATCAACTTTTCTGTAGGTAAACACTGTTGCATTTTTGCCACTGAGCTGCTGTTAGCTGCTGTTGGCTCTTGTTAGCTGCTATTAGCCGGTGTTAGTGAAAATTTCTTTGAAACAGATCAAACACAATGTGAGAGTAAAATCAAACCTTTAATAAGAGGAAAAGCGTGACTTTTAGGACACTCAAACCTAACATTAGCTGACATAGCGTTAGCTTATAACCAGCTGTTGTTGCATAGCTGGCATTTTCAGTTGACCAGATGGGTTGCATGTCTAATCCACTAAAAATAAGTAATTGTGACAATTTGGGGGAATAAATAAGCATGTTTATGCACATTTGCATGTGTCGGAGCCCTGACTTCATTTAGGAGATGAGGCTTAAGGTGGGGAGGAAGAGAATGGTGTGGAAATGAGAAAGAAGAGAGAAAAATGAAAGATGAGTTGGAGAAGGAGAAAGACATAGTGAGGAAGAGATGATGACAATATAAAAGTTTCATTTATTAAATATTCATCTATAGCTAGGAAAGAGCTATTTGTGATCTTTAAATCAAAAGTAACTTATAAGGCGTCCTGCATGTAGGGTGGTCTCCACATAAAACACAAATGGCATTTCAAGTTTTTACAACAGATGCAGCACTTGCAAAGGAATACAAGAGACTGATGCTGATTTAGCTTTGATTGGTGGGAAATGGAGAAATGCTAAGCAGCTGTGGTAAGACAATAAGGGTTTATTTAAGAGAAAACACAAAGCCTTGCTGGTTTGTGGTAGTACCAGTGAAATGCACACATAAATACACTGAGCATGTTTACAGAATCAGTTTGATGAAAGACGTAGTTACATAGTAACTATGAGAACAGCATTGCTTTCTATCTAATAAATAAACTAAAAAAATACTTACTTTAAAGTTTAAAGTATTTAACACTTTGCATAATCATAAACATGATATTACTGAATCATAATTAGTGATTTATTGATGTGTATATCTCTTAAACATTGTATTGTTAATGATTTTAATCACTTATATTATTATATTATTAAGTAAAGGATCTTGAATATGCATCTGCCATGCAAAAAGAAAAGAAGAAGACAGCAGAGATTTATGGATGTAGTGAAGGAGAACATGGAAAGGGTTGGTGCTAGGAAATGAGGGTCACCACAGCTGAAGGAAGAAGAAGCCTTATATGCATTTAATCTAAAAAATAATAAATAATGAAAGCTTTAATGTGTGGAGTACAGAGTGCAATAATAGTTAAAAGTAACAGATAAAATACATTAAACTTGAGTAAAGTATTCTTCAACCTTCTTCAACCGCACATCTTCAACCTTTCCCTCTCTCTGTCTGTAGTCCCAGCCTGCTTCAAAATGGCCACCATCGTCCCTGTACCCAAATCCTCCACCATCTCCTCATTGAACGACTGGCGACCTGTAGCCCTGACCCCCATCGTAAGCAAATGCTTCGAGAAGCTGGTCAGGGACTTCATCTGCTCTGCACTACCCGACTCACTGGACCCTCTACAGTTTGCATACCGCCACAACAGGTCCACTGATGATGCCATAGCCCTGACACTACACACTGCCCTGTCACACCTGGAGAAGAGAGACACGTATGTGAGGATGCTGTTTGTAGATTACAGCTCAGCATTCAATACCATCGTTCCCTCGAAGCTGGACAGGAAACTGCAGGATCTAGGACTGAGCAGCTCCCTCTGCAGCTGGATCCTTAGCTTCCTGTCTGACAGACGCCAGACTAGGCAGCATCACCTCATCCCCCATCACACTGAACACTGGTGCTCCACAGGGGTGTGTACTGAGCCCTCTCCTGTACTCACTCTACACCTACGACTGCACAGCCACTAACAGCTCCAACATCATTGTGAAGTTTGCGGACGACACTACAGTGGTGGGTCTTATCACCAACGATGATGAGACGGCTTACAGGGAGGAGGTCAGCGCCCTGACCCACTGGTGTCAAGACAACCATCTCACCCTCAACGTCGCAAAGACAAAGGAGTTGATAGTGGACTTCCGGAGGTGCAGAGAAGTACACACCCCCATCACCATCAACGGCGCTGCTGTGGAGAGAGTGAGCAGCTTCCGGTTCCTTGGTGTACATCTGGCTGAGGATCTTACGTGGTCAGTACACACAAACAAAACAGTGAAGAAGGCGCAGCAGCGCCTCTTCTTTCTCAGGAGACTGAAAAGATTCGGCATGAGCCCCCGCATCCTCAGGACCTTCTATCACTGTGCCATTGAGAGCATCCTCACTGGATGCATCACCACCTGGTATGGCAACAGCACCGCCTACAACTGCAAAGCTCTCCAGCGAGTAGTGCGGTGCTCTGAACGGATAATTGGAGGTGAGCTTCCCTCCCTCCAAGACATCTACAGGAAGCGGTGCCTGAGGAAAGCGGGGAGGATCATCAAGGACTCCAGTCACCCCAGCCATAAACTGTTCAGACTGCTTCCATCAGGAAGGAGGCTCTGCAGCATCCGGTCCCGTACCAGCAGACTGAGAGACAGCTTTTTCCATCAGGCCATCAGACTGCTGAACACGTCATAGACACCTCAGCTTCACTACTGGAACTTTAACATTATGCACTCCACACTGTATATAAATGCCACTTGTTTTGTACATATTCAACTCTGTATATTTTATATATTTTATTATTATTATTATTATTATTTATTTATTTTTTTTTTTTATTTATTTTTTTTTACTATTTAATTTGTAAAAATGTGTATACACACACACACACACACACACACACACACACACACACACACACACACACACGTATGAAAATATTTAGTATACACATCCAGAAATGCATACACTATTATATATTGTACATATATTTATTAGTTTCAGGTTGGCCATTCTTGTATTTTGCTCGTTTGTGTTGTTGTGTTTGCACATCTCTGTTGCTTGTGGGGCTCGCACACAAGAATTTCACTCGCATGTGCTGTGCCAGTGTGCCTGCACATGTGATGTGACAATAAAAGTGATTTGATTTGATTTGATTTGAGTTACATTCCAACTGGTCCTATCTATGTATTCATTTAACTGAGTTGGGGACTACAAGATTATGGGTACTTTAGTTGTACTGTTTTAACACCAAACATGTATCGTGTAAAAATGTATTAACATTTATAGTTTATAACATACTGGCAACACACTGAAGATGTTAAGTACATGTATACACACTATAAATACTATCTGAAAGACGTTTGGGAAATAAGTAAAGAAAAAAAGTTTTAAAAAGTTGTTCAAAACTATCTTTCCCCAAAGGATAAATCTTGTGTTATCTCTTGTGTAAAAGTGCGCAAGTTTTGTGTGAAAAAGAAGTCATGAAAGGCCTCATTACACATTCTGATAATGTCGGTCACGAGATCCAATCAGAAGACGTTTCTGTACGTTACGCAAGCGCGTCGATGCACGCAGTGGTCTCTGTGACAGGCTAGCGCGCCAAATTGATGTTACCGACAACAGAAAACAAATTAATGCTTAGCTAGCCACAAAACTACCCAGTACACGTCGCGGAGAGTCTTAGGACGAAATTGTTTTCCTGTCAAAGCTCAGACTGAGGCACCTGGTCCGCTGTCAGGATGGGTCTGCTCGAGCGTTGCCAGGAGCTTTTTAAGACCTCAAACTTGTATGAGGTTCTGGGAATCAACAAAGAGGCGACAGAGGCTGAGATCCGGAGGAGCTACTACAAAGTGTCGCTGAAAGTCCATCCAGACCGGGCTCCTGACGACCCGCTGGCCACAGAGAAATTTCAGGTGAACGCTCGTTGTTGTTGTGACAACACACATACACGCAGAGATTAAGCTAGGCTTGCGAGCTAGCTAACGCAGCTAACTGTAGTTGCCGTGAATAATCTCGCACTGTGCCATCACAGACTTCACCCCAGTAGCATCCAGTCGCGGGATTTGGACATGCGTTTGTGGTATCTACATGATTACAGAGATGTTTTGAGCATCCCCCAGTGATACTGAATTTTCACAGTAATTCAGGTGCAAAACAGACTCGTTAGGTAATTTATATCCCCACATATAAGTTACCCTGTAAACTGAATTCAACACTTTGCTTACTACCTCAAATAGAACCTGTATTAGAAAGTCAAGCAGGCTAAACGAAACAGTTGAGAAACTAAGTCTCACATCTATGGTGAGAGCCATTATCCACAAATGGGAAAAACGTGGAACAGAACCTTCCCATCAAAGACTCATCCAGGAGGTAAAAAAATAACCCCAAACAACATCTAACGAACCTCACTTGTCTCTGTTAAAGTAAGTGTTAATGATTCAATGATAAGAAAGAGACTGGGCAAAAATGACATCCACTGGAGAGTTCAAAGGCGAAAACCACTACTGATTAAAAAGACCACAAAGGCTCATGTCACATTTGCAAAAAAAACAAACAAAAAACATTGTAATGATCCCCATGCCTTTTGGGAAAATATTCTGTGGACTCGCTAGGCAAAGTTGAACTTTTGGTTTGAGTTACATCAGGGTGTAAAACGAAGACATAATTTCATAAGTATGATATGACGTTATTGTGATGGCCGCTGCTGGTTTAGGACCTGAATGACTTGCTGTTATGGATGGAACCATGAATTCTGAAAATGCAGAAAGTCCTGAAGGGGAATGTGTCAAGCAGAGACAAAAAGAAAAAAAAAGAAAAAAAAAAACAAAGATTATGCAGTGGCCTAGTTTAAGTCCAAACTTAAATCAGATCCAGATGTTTTGGCATGACATTAAAAAGGCCGATCATGGTCAAAAACCTTCCAATGTGGCTGAATTAAAACACTTCTGTTGTAAAGAAGAGCGGGCCAGATTGCCTCCACAGTGATGTGAAAGCCTCATTGCCAGTTATCACAAACACTTGATTGCCATTCTTGCTGCCAGTGGTGGTTAAACCAGTTATTAGGTTTAGGGGTAATTACCTTTTCACATAGGGCCATATAGGTTTGGATCGGCTTGAATTCCAAAAATAAAAGTATTTAAAATAGCACTTTGTATTTATCTGGGTTTTGTCTAATATCAAAATGTGTTTAGTGATCTAAAAAATGTCAGTGATATGGGGGGGGGACAGAAAACAGGGGAGGCAAATACTTCTTGCAACAAAACTGTTAATCTAGTGTTGTCAGGTAAAGGCACTTGCTAAGGTATTGGAAGTTATTGACCATAATGAATTAATGAATGACTTTAAATAATAATAATAAATTTTATTTTAAAGCACCTTTCAGAACACTCAAGGACACTGCACACAGCAGAATAATAAAAACAAGCATAAAAGCAGACAATTTACAAAATCATATAATGCAAAACATAAAACAGATTTAAAATAGCAGAATGGAAAAGGTTATGTGGGATAAGCTATTTTGAACAGGTGAGTTTTGAATCTAGACTTAAAAAGAGAAAAGGAAGTAATATTTCTTATATCAGGAGGTAGGCAATTCCAAAGTCGAGGAGCAGAGCAGCTGAAAGCCCTGCTCCCCATAGTGGCGAGGCGGGGGGAGGGGGCAGAGAGAGAAAGAGAAGAAGATGATTTAAGATGCCAAGCTGGAATGGTGATCTGAACCAAATCAGCGAGATATGGAGGGAAGAGAAGATGAATAGCCTTACATGTATACAAAAGTATTTTAAAATTGATGCGATATTTGACCGGCAGCCAATTAAGCTGTTGCAGGACAGGGGTGATGTGGTAAATAGATGGGGTCCTTGTGATAATAGCAGAGTTCTGGACACGTTGAAGCTTATGTATGGACTTTTGGGTGAGACCAAAAAGAAGTGAATTGCAGTAATCAATCCGAGAAGTAACAAAGCTATGAACAAGAATAGCAGTGGCATGTGGAGTGAGAAAAGGATGGACAAGATTAATGTTGCGCAATTGGAAATATGCAGACCGAATAACATTATTGATGTGTGAATTAAAAGATAAAGTCCTGTCGAGGATGACACCCAAACTTTTCACATATGGAGAAACAGAGACCGGTGAGTTATTGATAGTAACAGAGAAGTTATTAGTTCTGGATAATGTTGATTTAGAGCAGGGGTGTCAAACTTAAATACACAGTGGGCCAAAATTCAAAACTAGAACAAGGTCGCGGGCTAACATTAATATTTATTGAAAAATATCTTCCTCCAGATTTAAGAATTAATCTCTTCTTATGGACTCAAACAAGTTTTGCTGAAAAACTGAATGTGGAACAAGCAAAGCTTAATACTAAACAATGTATATATTAGCTGTATAATACCAGTAGGCCAGCTCTAATAGTAATTTGGTATGGCTTCGCAGGCCACATGTAATTAGGCTGCGGGCTAAATTTGGCCCGCGGGCCAGAGTTTGACACCTATGATTTAGAGCCTGCCAAAAGAAGCTCTGATTTATTTTGGTATATGAAAATGCCTATAATATAAAGGCTGTGGCAGCATCTCACAAATGTCTCTTGTCTAGTTCGTATATGTATATATAGGTGCGGCATTTTACAGACTAATATCAAGTAATGGCCTCAGTTCATCAGTGTTTCAATGCACCTCTAAATCAGTGTGTAATACCATAGTTTTCAGTAAGAGTTGTATTTTGGTGTGAAATGTCCCTACAGGTGTTGGGAAAGCTGTACGCGGTGCTGAGCGATAAGGAGCAGAAGGCTATTTACGATGAGCAGGGAGTGGTGGATGAAGAGTCTGACGTCCTGAAGCAAGACCGCTGTTGGGAAGACTATTGGAGACTGCTTTTCCCAAAGGTACCAGAGCACAGAGTGATTTTTGTTTTTTCACTAACATGACTCACTAATGAGTCACAGTGAATGTTGTTTGTCTGTCTGTGTCCTGGGATGATGTGACACCTGAAGCGAGTCACTTAGAGGAGGAGGTTACAGCAAATATATGGTCAGACTACACCTATGCATAATAGTAAATTGATGCAAGCATAATATATTTCAATTTGTTTGTTTTATTATTAATTCATTAATGTTCATATTACAACATTACAACATGCTGTCTTTCCACCCACCTCATAGATCACAGTCCAGGACATACTTGAGTTTGAGAAGACGTACAAGGGCTCTGACGAGGAGCGACAGGATGTGATCAAGCTTTACTTACAGCACGAGGGAGATATGGACGCCATCACCGCCTCAGCTCTGTGCTGCTCCCAAGAAGATGAGCCCAGGCTGTGCAGCATGATCCAAGATGCCATCGATAGTGGCGAAGTAACAGCCTTCCCAGCTTTTACTCATGAGACCGAGAAGAAGAAAAGGGCCCGGAGGAAGAGGGTGAGAGATGTGTTGGTGTTGAATCACAACTTATGTGCAGGGTTTTGTTTTGTTTTTTTGCCATGATTGTTAGATGGCCAAAAGTACTTGTAAAACTTTAATCATTGCTAATAATTTGTAAGAAATGAGTACAAAAGATAAGGCTCCAGCGTCTTTGAGCTTAATGATTGCACCTAACCTTGCAGGCTGATAGAGAGCGCCAAGAAGCAGAGGAAATGCAGAAAAAGATGGGGCTGGACGACCAGGATGACAGTCTTGTGATGATGCTTAAGGTGACAAATGCATGTGCAGATGTTAGAAAGTTTCAGGGGTATAGCTTGTTTATCCTCTGACTAACTTTGCTTTCTTCTTGTTTCCTTCTCTGCAGCAACGACAGCAGTCCAGAGAGCAAAATTTTAACAGTTTCCTGTCTGACCTGGAAGCAAAATACTCCAAGAAAAGTGCCCCAAAACCCCAAAAAGGAAAAAAAGCAAAAAAGTAAAATGTTCTAATATTAGTAGATACAATGTATGTAAGTTCTGGAAGATAACCACATTCACAAAACAAACAACTTTGGAAGAACATTCATATACACAGTTGTACAGCTGCATTCTGTAATCATTGAAATGATCAGCCTCAGTAGCTTTTATGTGACGCTGTATTTTGTCTCATTTGTTTTTTCTGTTAATCTTAAAAAATAAAAAAAAGACCCAAAAAACCCAAATAAATCCAGTTATGTAACACATCATTGCTTCACAGCGTTGTTTCTTTATTTATTTTTACAAAACAGGTTAAAAGAAAATGCATTGCAGAAAATTGTTGACTTTTTTTCAAGCTTTGTGGCATGGCTGTCTGATAAATGATCCTGAATACATATAAATGTACCTTTTTGCAGTAACCCTGATATTACCTGTCAAAGCACCCCCACTTGGCTTAGCTTAGATTTAAAAACGTTACATCCCGTAAAATGTTTTGTACATACGTGACAAGCTATTTACAAATAAAGTTTTATATCACTGCCTCTTATGTTCCTTTTGCTGTCGTGTCATGCAGTTTAAAACCCACAGCCCCTCTCGTGATTTAAAATAAGCTCGTCTTTTTGTTTTCCTTCCTGTGTACGATGATATGCAAAGAGGCTATGGATAAATGCTTGTCGTGTCCCTATAAAAGATACAGTACCAAACTCTCTGATTTAGCTTCAGAGAGGAAAAAAAAAGTGCTTTTTATCCTCTGTAATCCTGTCGGGATGAATGTGTTATTCCCTGCATAGTGGGTTCCTGGTACAACAACGCAGCACAGAGGATAATATACAGTACGTTCACATATAAATAGATATATACATATTTACATCATACATGAACTAAGGTCTAAATATGCAGCTCATACTTTACATGAAGATGGAGTTATTGTTAATAATTATTTCTGTTTGGCAGCCTCATAAGCTGATTTTTGAAGTACAAAAATAGGGTTTTAACAAAAATATTACAAAAGCAGCATAATATGAAAAAAAGAACCTGCTACTTCTGTAAAACAAAACAGTTCAGTGGGCACGGATGCTGCAGAGCATTGCACTTTGTTGCACTTTAATAAAGATGAGTGGCTCAAAAGTCTGGAGTTTAGAGGCAAACTATAAGCCAGGTCTGCTGGCTCTGGATGAGATGCCTCCTCGGGTGTGAGACCGAGACGGGACTGACGCAGGCACCAGTGGAGCTGAGAGGAAGAATTTAAAAAAAAATTATAATAATTTTAAGTTAATAAACAACCTTAAAACCGTACTTGCTGCTTCAATCTCCCGCATTTATAGTTCAGTTCTGAGGCCCGAGTATGAAAGAGTTTCATCAGCCACTTTAATCTACTGACCTGGGACAGGGGCTTGCGGGTCTGGCTCCTCTTCGTCTTTGATGGGCGAGTGCCCCAAGGGGTGGTGGGAAAATGAGTCCAAAAAAGACGAGCTGCTGATGCCAAGACTGATGCCCGTCACACCGATTCCAAGGGAGTCTGGTGCAATGAAGGAATAAATGAATGCATAAGTTATTAGGCGATGTGCTACGAAACGCGCCTTAAAGTGCATGTTCAAAACAGGAAACGGGCCGAGAAAAGCAGGAGTGTTAGCTCACAGTATCAGTGATTCACTTTACCCCAGGATGAACTGTTGAAGGTTATGAACTATGAGAGCAAATAAAAATGATTGTTTTATTGAAGTATATCCACACACTGAGTCCGCTATAACAAGCAGTATGATAACAATACTGCTTAGCTAAAACTTAACTAGAAGAACAGTAAAGGACGAATGAATAGAACAGAGCTAAAAGTAGCAGTGAAATGAATGGGATTGCATACATACAGAAGTGTATTAGCCTTTTTTAAACAATAAAATCAACTTTTATTTAACTTTAAATGAACATATTTTGAACATGAGTAGTCGAAGAGGCAGATATAGTCTTACAGAGTGGCGTTCGGTAACCAGGGCAGTGCATCACATCAAAATTTTTAATGGTTTCTTTTCAAATATTCAGGCTGAATTTCTGACCTGTGCCCACAGAGGCTCTGCCTGGCCGCCCCTGCCCAATGTTGTCCAATACTGTGAAGGATCGACGGTATGGAGTATCTGACTGAAAGCAAAGTGAGGCGTCAAGCATGCTTACAATTCAGAATGTTAACCATACCAGCGAATAATATAGAGTTACTGATGCCATTGTGACCCGATCTACAATCTAATTACTGGAAAATAAAAAAACATTACAGGACAGCTTCTCTATGGAGTCAGAAATGAAATGACTGTATTTTCTCTGATGATTAACCAGCATCTCACCCTGTAAGTGTGGGTTGTGTTGGGGCGAGAGAAAACGTCCAGTAGGTGGTGGCGATCCCTCGGAACTGAGCTGCCAGCTTTGTCATTTATAGCACTGTGGGCACGGCTAGATGGGCCCTTCTGGCGCTGGAGGGATATTTTAAAAAAGAAAAAGAGAAAAGGGCACAAAGTTGACTGTCTGGCTTTATCTACATTCATAAAACACTCTCTCTAGGTTTACTGGCACATTACTTAATTATCTACTTGGTGAGAGTGCCTGTACCTGTGCAGTTTTAGATGGCTGCCCTGAGTAAGATGAGTCTGGGTCTCCGGTGCTAATGGGCGGAAGGAGTGTGTTTCTGCTTAGAGGCAATGGTGGAGAGTTCAGTTGGTCACTGGCTGTGGGTCTGTGGATGTGTGGATGAAGACAGTTTTGTCATTTTATCCATGCTTCATTAATAGCTCCCCTTTTTTTAAAGAGATTTCAGAGGGGTTACTGTTAAACCCATAATAGAAGAGAGGATAAAGGCCTAAAGTTTAATTTACCTTTTCTGGGCCCTATGTGCACGGCTATTTATTGTCTAGATGCACATAGACTGCATTTCGTTGCCTTGGACTTGTGACATGTGCAATCACAATAAAGTTGAATTCTATTCTATTCTATTCTAAAATCAAGTTTGTTGAAAGCAGCCACAAATATGTGTCAGACAGAACTAAACTGAAATCAGTCTGACATCCCAGAGAGCAGTTTACACTCTGATTTTCCAACATACTGGGTGCTTCTTCATATGCTGCACAATAGTTATACATGAACAATCAAGCACTAGTCAATCAGTGTGGAAGCTCACTACCCGACAACATCTGACAACAGGCTGAGTCCTGCATGTGGCACTGCCACAGCCATAAGCTGAAATGGAGTCTGTTCTAAAGGCAAGTTCTCTCTACATCTGCAAAACTTCACAGGGTGTAGGAGGGAATGAGGAGAGAAAAAGGGAGCAATGTAGGAACTGGGGTGGGTTCTCGTGATGTTAAAACTCACAGACGTGTCCCGCGGATGAACTCATCCATGGATCCCACTGCGCTCGACTGACTCGGATTGGGAACAAGAGGCAGGAGGGTTCGGGGAGGAGGGTTCCTGCGTCGGGCTGATTGTGCTGGGCGGGACAGCGAGGAAGAGCTCTGCTCCAGGGGTCGGCGAGGGCGAGGTTTGTTGGAGGGGACCGCGCTAGATCCCGGTCTGTGAGACGCACGCTCTTCTGGCTCCCTGAGTGGGAAGGAAAGAGAGCAAAACACGTTCGATGAATAGTCTGTTTGCAACCAGCCAACTGGCTGAGGACTCTGCCAAACAAGGTGTTAGGACCAGGGACAAAAACACTGCATGAATGATGCTCTGTACCTCTTGTTCTGCAAAATGTGTTTTTCAGTAAATGGAAAACTGCAAGATATCTTTGTCTCTTTTCTCTGAGTTGAAGATTTAAATCACATATTAGAATTCAGAATTGTGCTAAAATTAATTTCCCTGTTTGTTTTTAGTTTTTTCGTTTTTTTTTAAAGCCACTGCTCACAGGTTAAGACAGTAATATGTGATCATACTGGCTTCTATCCGGCACACCCAGGTTCCTCTGCTGAAGGGGGATGCTGTGGATCACGATGAGGTCGTTCAGGTTGTGCTGAGTCGCGGCTGCTCCTACAGGGACTCTTCCAGCCTGGGGTTTGGTGTGAGATGAGTGACAGATAGTAATGAGACAGATGGGATGAAAAGTAAAAGATGGAAATGATTAAGGGGTCAAGGAGGGGAGGGAGATAGGAGGGGACAAAACACATAATATAAGAAGAGGCTAATAGGGCTAGTTATTTCCATATGTATAGTGCAGAAAAATTGCCAAGAAATGGTTATTCGTCATGCAGTGATGTAAGGAGGGCCCCATATTTGCTATGGCACCAAAAAGACAACAGTCATAACACTAAAAATGCAACAAAAACAATAAGTAGCAAAATAATACATTCCAGCACTCTCCTAAAAAAGGAAGGCTCTAACTACAGTTAAACTTGTACACGTTTAAAGTAAGTTGCAGGTAATGAAAAAGATAAACAGATGGCGACGCTTCAGTGTTAATCAACAGTCACAAACACGTTTAATCTAGAGGTAAAGATAATGAGCCGCTGTGGACGGCATGCACACAGCACGCCACCATTTTGGCTCTAAGTGAGGGAGTTACATACACTGGAAGGCCTTTTCTGCTTTTTGGATTTCCGCCTGGACTTGTGCTTTGAGCCCCTTGACTTTGTGTTCTTTAAGTGAGAGTAGAAGAGGACATGTCCAAAGAAAGAGACAGTGGATAGAAAGGAAAGGAAGGAAGAAGTGTAAGTTAGAAAGAGGGTAATAAGAACAGAAGAAAAATGGATAAAAAAATAAAAAAGAATGACCAAAAGAGATGAAATAAGACAAAATACATTGGCATGGTGAAGAGTGGAAAGTGAAGAGGGAAGAAAAGAAAACAGTTAATGAACTAGAAGCGCTGAAAGAGTGAAGAGCAACAGGCAGAGGTAATAATTAAGTGTGAACTCTGGAGGAGACACATATGACTCTAGGTAAAATGAGTCTTACCTCAATCCATACAAAAAATGTATTCATTAACTCTATAAGACTAAACTTGCCAATTCAAATGACTTCTTTTCAATTACTACATTGTCATTATTAAAGTGAAAAAGGCGCCACATAATAGCGACACTTTTTTAAATATACAAAGGAAATCTATAACTATTTATGTTCTTCTATTATAACATAGTCACTTAGTTTGATGGCATCTACTAAAAGGAAAAAAAAATTAAATTTTGACCCTCCTGATAGTCATGAAAGTGAAACGAGGCCCACAGTCTGAACTCCCTTAGACGCACCCCGGTTCCTCCCATTACTCCTCAGACCACTGACCTGGAACTGCATG